AGAAGTCAGTCAACACTGAAACACAACAACAAGTATTGCATTACTGCTGGCAATCGTCGCGACTCTCGCTTCTGTCGGTTAACCCACTCTTTGGCGTCGATTAGCCGTGAATTGTCTGGAATCGGATCCGAAGACCCGTTTGGTTCCCCTCTCAGCCGCCCTCGTGTCCAATCCGTGTCGGGTTTGGACCGTTGTATTCATGAGCGCCACGACGGCTAACTTCAAAGGACAGCGATATTCCTCTGGTGTAGAGCTGGACAATGAGTGGCCGTTGATATGCAGTCCGGTATCGATGGCAATGGATTCGCAGTTTTATGATCAGTCGTCGCCAGTAAAGTCCCACAACAAGTGTTCTTCGCCCCAACACTTCCCACACAATAGTCGCCAATCGGTAGAGCTGTCGGTCGCGGACCTGACGGCGCCGGAGCTCACCTTCGATCACATGTCGATCCAACAGTTCATTACCAACGAAATCAATTCCAACACAAATACATCGTTGGATGACTCGGTCTCCATCTTCTCTGCACTTCTCAACGACAAACAACAGTCACAACAAAGTCGTAACCATCAGAACCCACATCACCGACAGCAACAACAACAGCAACAGCAACAACACCCGCAACAGCGACCAGAAGTGGCCGATCATAACAGTACAAACACATACGGGCAACAGTCGGGCCACACCTCACACCCGCACCATTCGGACCCGTATTCAATGCCGGGACAGTCTGTGGACACATACGGACAACAAGTGGACACATCATCGGTGGTGAAACAGGAGCCCATAGATCCGGACGGAGACTTCTCGAGCAGTTGTAGTCAGAACTCGGGCTATTCGGGCAGCTATTCTGGTGGACAGTACGACAATCGGGATCAGACTATCAACGGCTCAGACCAGAGCCCCATGTCTTTGGTTCACTTCGGCGGCAATAATATGCGTTCCCATAAGAGCCATAAGAACGGTAAGAAGAATGTGGACAAAGCCTCCGATGAGTACAAGAAGAGGAGGGAAAGGAATAATATAGCCGTCCGTAAGAGTCGAGAGAAGGCGAAGATCAGGAGTCGGGAGACGGAGAAGAAGGTGTCAGAGTTGGCGCGAGAGAACGACTCTCTCCGCAAGAAAGTGGATATGCTTTCCAAAGAGCTAAATGTGTTGAAGTCTCTGCTCACTAACGTTGGCGTTCCCGCCGAGAGTGTGGACACAGAAATAGCTAAAGGCCTTCAGATGGACCACAACTCGACCACTCCGTACGGATCGTCGATGTAATCATTTTTTGTTTTTATTGATTCTTCTCTCACTATTCAAACCTTTATATCTATTTCTCTGTATTCTTCTCTAAATGTTGTTTCAATCAATCATTTCAATCAGATTTCACATTCATTTTCAATATATATTTATATGTCATATATTGACGCAAATTAGGGCCACATTTGACATAACAGTCCTTTCAGTGTTGACTTCTCTCACACCTCATTTGATTCAATGATCAATATATATATAAAACATATATTTAGTATATATTTATATACAAAACAGAGAAAAGTTATATATTATTATATAAAAGTTATTTTAATAATAATTACTAATTATTAGAAGAAACAATCATAAGGAAAGTGTGAGAAGTGTTTATATAAATAATATAAATACAGAGTCTATTGTAAATGTTATAGAGTTATGAAACGAGTGGTCACTGAATCGCCTTTTAATTTCTCAATTGAATCGTAAAATAATATCAAATAAATCTCACTTTTGCTGTACAAAAGTGAATGAATAGAGAAGTGACGCGTCGACTATATGTATGGTTTTATGGTATGGTTTTGAGAGAATAGACACAAAACGCGCCTCAAATACACAACACATAACATAACATACATTATATAATATACGATAACATACCAGTGCCTAAATATTTTTGATTAAAATATTTGAGGCTTTCTCCTCATTATTTTGTGCTCACAATCGAGTTATTAATATAAATATATGTTTATTATTGAAAAAGATATTAATTATTATTTACCGATACAAACAAAAGTGACTAATTTTTGTGCAGCCATTCAATTGTCTATCAGTTAAATGGTTTGTCAAGACTATAAAGTGATGAACGCGTGAATAACAGAAACACAATCAATATATAAATAAATCTAAATATTCAAATGTTATGCCATTTGACGGCACTTTCAATCAATTATATGATAACATTAGAGTTGTCCCTCTTTTTCGGTCTACGTTTTGTTTTTTGAGTTTTTACTAAACATTTTCTCTTAATATATAAATATATTTAAAAGTTGTAAATGAATTGAATTGAGATAAGAATATTTAATTAATTATCAGATAAATAGTTGTATTATTTATCAATATTTTTAATATACTATCCATTAATGATTGTTATTATTTAAAAGTGATTTTATTGATTGGCATTTTGTGCTGAAAACTAATATTGATATTAATATTAACCGAAATGTGATGAATGGCTGTTGGAATTGATTATAACTATAATTACTATAATTATTATAAAGTTTTTACATATCATCTGATTTTATGAGTATATATTTAAAACTAAACTAAAACACAAAAACAGAGACAATATTTAATTTGCTGTTGTAGTCAATGATATGTTTATATAAATGGTAATACAAATTGTGATCATCTCTTCTCTGGTGCTCTTCTCTTGTTTTGTTTGAAACATGTCTTCACAGAAACCAAAACAAAATGTTAACTTATAATTGAATTTTACATTTAATTATCACAACACTTATTATATGTAAAGAAACTGATGTGACATTAATTTAATGAAACAAATCTGTTTTTTAATGAAAATAATGTTTTATAAATATATATAAATTATAAATATATTGAAAAATTATGTTTTAAATACGAATGAAAACAACTTTTATGGGTCTCTTCTCTATTCATTAAAACCAAAATAATTTATTTAGATTTGATTTGAAGGCTTGATTTGATTGTCGACTCTTATAAATCAAATGTTAATTGATTTTTATTTACAGTTCAAATTAAGTTAAATATGTTATGGATATCCAACAAAATTATAATATTAAATAAAATTATATAAAAACAAACTCATTATCATTATATTTGTAAAACAAATTGTTCTCTAAAGTTATCGCTATTATTAAAGAAATGTTGTTTTAAATTGTGATCGATTTTATTTGCGTTTTTATTTGTTTATCGTTTATATGTTTTGTTTGATAATGAATTCATTGGTCTTTAAATCGTAAGCGTTTTGGGAGAAGAAGTGGTGCCAAATGGTTGCGAAACAGGTGTACAGTAATTATGCGCTCATTATGTGCTACTGCTCTTCAAATGGGTCTCACAAAACAACACAACAAATAGAAAGTATTTATTATTTAAAACGCTTTCACGAGTTATTTATTTGAAACAAGTTTTGCGCTTAAAGTGAAAAAGAAAACGAAAGTAATCTTAAATTGAGATCAAATGCCAAATAAATGGATTGGTATTGAAATTCGGTCTTAACTAAGACTCTTAAGTGAGAGCTTTTCAAGAATCCAATAATTATTTTATGTGTTTAAAGGAGTGATTTGTTTAGCATTTTATTCATTGTATTGCTTTTTATTATTATAAAAAATTGGTATAAAATGTATTTTATTAAATATAAAAAACACGTTTTGTTGGGATTTATACGAATAAATAGCGCTTAACATGAGATATAGTGGGAAAGAAATGGTGATAAAGAAATGAAAAGTGGTTTTTGGTATGAAAATCAAGTTCAGCACAACATTTAACAACTCGTTTGGTTCGCCTCTTCTTTTCAAAAAGCAAAACATGAAAAAATAGTGAATAAATATATTTCTTTATTATTGAGATAATTGCTGTACATTTGCTGTACAACTGTAACCCACTTATCGTGTGATAAAGTCTTATACACCGCAACTCTACCACCACTGCATGCATATAACATATACCATATATTGAGTTATGTTTATTGAATTTATTATTCAATTTGTAAAAACAAAGACTTGTCGACAAAATATAGTTTTTATGAATGCTATCAAATTTATTGTCTTCACTTCACTTCGTTTCTCATAAATAAATAGCATTTTATTTTTGCTCCAAAACTGGAAATCAAAAGATTAGAAGTAAATAACATTAGTTTTGATTACAATATCTGTAAAGAATAATTTCAATCTTCAAATCCCATGACATTCAATATAATAGTAGAAAATGAGTTGCTTTTTATCGATACAGTGCTCTCCGAGTCGTGTTATTCTGTTTGCAAAAATATATTTAGATTTAAATTCAATGTTAATGTTATCAAAGAGTATTCAGTGAAAAAGTCTCATATATTTTTATTTGTTGATTATTTAGCGCTTTCTTGAATATAATTATCAAAACCCGATTCAAACGCATATTTCTCTAGATTTTCCTTTTATTTCAAACTGATTATCAGATATGAAATGAAAAAATGAAAACGTTTTAAAATCTTAAATATTGATGTGAATCAGAAATTTAAATCAAAATATGAATACAATTTTTTAAACATAAATAATTATATATTTTAATTGAAATGAAAGTTTAATTATAAAGTTTCTTAAGATTAGCCTACTTTTGAAATTATAATTATTAATAGCAAAATAGGTTATGTTTCACTCAATTGTTGTTTAATTTAACGTATTATTTGTAAATTTAATAAATATATTGTCAGTAATAATATCTCAAATCGTATGACGACTACAATCTTTGTGCAAAAAACTAATGATAGTCACTAAGGAATGACATTAAAGTATAAAATTGAGAAAATCCTAAATGAATGGTATGTTTAGCTAAAAAATCAGTTGTCATTAAAAGTGATAATCAAGGTCTCGTCGATAAGGCCTATGGTATCAAATAGTATTATATTGTAAATACACTTGTATTATATTCAACTAATTTTCTATACCTTTAATACCACTGAATTAATTACAAACAGATATAATGTCTTTCTTTAAAAACTTACTTTTAATTTTACTCTACAGTACTCTATGGGACACTGAATTAATAATACATTTTGTAGTTTTGGTTAAAAATGGGGAAAAATTAGTATACATTTCATGAATTCGCCTTAAATGTCGTCTAATTATCAATAAAAACATTTTTATAAATGGATATTCATTAGAGAAAAGATATCTAAAAGCATATAATAACATCCTATAATTTAAAATCATTTTCTAAAAAATTATTTCAAACATTCAAACATAAAAACTATGTCTAATGAGTGGTCATATGTTTTATATAACATGATTGAACATCACATTACATATCGTGTTATAGAGTTATGATTTGTTGGCAATTCTATACTTAAAGAGATTAAGTTTACAAATAATTTTATAATATGTAATTGTTTTGAATATTTGAAGCCAACAAAAACTAGAGCCAACTTTCATTAGCCATTTATCGCAATCATTTCAATGATAAACATTAGGCATTGAAATGGTTTAAGTTTAAGGATATTTAATAAGTGCTGATATGAGGAGAGCGAGAGTGACTTGTAATACAATCCTTCAATTATATGATAAAATAAGAGATTGTTTTCAAAAATATTGAATAAATACCATTCAAAACATCATAACATCCATAGATTCATAGATCCCATAAAGAATAGGAAAGTCAATATTTGACATATCATTCAATGCATTAATGTAATTAAAATGATAATTTAATTTAATGAGATATACAATTAAAATACATTTTTAAAATGACAGTAATTTAAGTCATCAGAACAAGTGATTTCATTAATGGACTTGAAATACAAAAAGTAAAATACATTTCACGCTTTGTTTTGAAGAGAATTTAAATTTAATTTTATTGAAAGAATTTAATTTGAATTTCTTCCCCATAAATGACACCAATTTTCAAAATAGTAATTCATTTCACAAATAAATAATATTTTAAAATCAAATTAAAATTAATTTTCAATTAAATGAATAGAAAGTAAAAGTCAAAAATCTATTTACGGTCTATTTTTTCTGAAGTGAAGTTGTTTTTATATACATTATATAAATAATGCTGTTTTTCATTATTACTTTATTGTTATTTTTATATAATAATAATTATGATTGTGTTTTGAAAAAAGTTTATAATGAAAAGCCATTGTCAATGTGATAGGGAAAGTATTTTCAAACGAGATTTTTTGAGGTTTCGCACAGAATTGGGTCAAAGTATTAATTTCACGACAGATATACACAACTATTTGAGAGAAAGTAAGAGAGAGAGAGAGAGAGAGAGAGATTTGAAATAAAAGTAAAATTAGATTATTTTTAATATTCATTAAAAAGAATTTTATCTTCAAAATAATCAGTTAAAAGAAAATTATTATATAATATATCGAAATATAATATAAAACCCGATATTCAGGTATTTTCATCCCGCGGTTATTCTAGTACTCTCTCTCTCTCTCTCTCTCTCTCTCTCTCTGCCAGAGAATGTGTTTTAATAAATACCGATTGTGTTATACATTCGGTGATGTGTTTTTGCCACTAAAAAGGAGATCAATAGTTACGCCCATTCTCTGCAAATTGGCAATCATTTGCCGTCAGATTTTTAAATTTCGGAGAGAAAAAACAATTTTAATTTAATTTTGTTGTTGTTTTTGTGTTCACTTAATCTAAGGTCTTGACTGTCGGACTGACTTCGCAAACGATTATCAAATATTTTCATATTTACTGATCGCTTGTATAATATTTCCTCAATTCATTCAGTAATCAATTCATAAAATTCTTGTTCACATCTTCAGTGCAAACGCTCTCTAATTAGTGAATCGATTTCACAGCAAATATGTGAATAAATCATCCGTTTTATCAGCGAATGTTGTTTTAGCGCAAAAACACATCGCTAGCCCTCCAGCGACCCCTCTCTCCGGCCCTTAAACTATACATAAAACTGCTTATTAGCCGATGAGTACGGACTCGGCTTTTATTTCGTTAGTACTCTCTATCGTTATCTTTGGTCTGAATTTTTTGTTTTTTAGATAAAATAAAAGGAAAAATAAATAAAAATTTTATTTCAAAAATACATTTGAAAACGAATCTCACAATAAATGGTATTATTATTGCGTTAAAGGAGTGAATAAACCAAAGAATGCATTCGTCGACCAATAACTCCAACTGATTAATGATAAAAATGCAACAAAAAGCTTCATTTTATTACAGCTTATTCTGTAATTCACTGCAAACTGTAATAACTATTTTCGAGAGAGAGAGAGAGAGAGAGAGAGAGATGCATAAAACAATGTTAGGATCAAGTATTCTGATTGTAGGCATACTATTACGGGAATTATAGGAAATATGTATTAATATATCAATAGAGAACTATAGAGTAGTGTATAATAATAGTGAAAATTTTGTTTTATATATTGAGAGAGAGAGAGAGAGAGAGAGAGATGTTTGAGATATTTTTGATCCCAAAAAAGCATTATAGATATGAGGCGTTAATGCAGTGGATGTGCGAAAGCATTGGCAAAGGATAGCCTCAATGTCTCATCAGAACCTAATTACAGCCGTAGAGAGTGTGAAAAGTGTCTGATAGGGGGTTAGTTGGCCTCAGGCCTGATCTCAGAGCGGGATATGGTTTGCTCTGTTGTGGCACTTATTTTGAGGTGATTTCTCAAAACAGCGCCTGTTATCAGAAGATTCATCACTTGTGCTGAAACACCACTAAACAGAACAGGATTTCTAACTTATAATTCCCGTAATAGTATGCCTACAATCAGAATACGTGATCCTAACATTGTTTTATGCATCTCTCTCTCTCTCTCTCTCTCTCTCTCTCTCTTTCTTTCTTTCTTTCTTTCTCTCTCTCTCAAAATATAAGAAATGAGTTGAATAACTATTATATTGAATTTCAAACATACAAATTGTGAGTCTGAATGTATGGCCAGTGCTCTGTAGACAACAATCTGTTGTCTTATCACGGAATAAAATCCTGAGATATTTTGATTATATTCATCGCAATGTAATCACAATTGTTATTATCATAAAATATAAAACATATATTCAGTTTCAGATCCGCAAAACAGGCTCTTCTCTCGCACTTATTTCAATCATAGACTCAATTTCTTTGCCATAATCTTCAGCAATGATATGTGTTTTGATATATTAGCCGAAAAATACACTGCAATTCATACTCTTATCTCAATTTCAGTCACAAAACCAAATAATAAATTCTGAATTAAATTTAATCATTGATTGAACGCCAAAGAAATGTGTATTAAATGTCATGTTTTAACGATAAGAATGCCTGAAGTCATACATATAAATGAAAATAATTCACTCCATTGATTGACTGCTTTTAATTATACAATTATAAACACCGGGTATTGGAAAACAATTTTAATCGTTGAGTAAATAATGATTTAGTGCTCAAGAGTACGAAAAATGAGAATTAATTGATTGTAATTCACGGTTTGTGCAAATATTTTGTTTAGGAAATATGTATTAATATATCAATAGAGAACTATAGAGTAGTGTATAATAATAGTGAAAATTTTGTTTTATATATTTAGAGAGAAGTTTATCTGCAAAAATTGTTTTCATTTTCACAGACAGTGAGAAACTCATAGACTGAGAAAAATTACACACAATTTTATGGATGCAATTAAAACGCGAACTAACTTTCAAAACATTTAAACACATTGAAAGTTATGATTGAAATTTGCATTCCTTTGTGTGTTATGTGAACGCCGTCTGAATATAATAGACGTCTTTAACTCGTCATATATTTTAATTATTTCGCTGTTTTTCCGATTCAATGCATATTCTGTTTCATTTAATTTAATTTCTAAAATCCATGTTTAATGTCATACAACACACGAGGAATTATATGTGGATAAAAAGGTTTTCAAAATTCGTGTAAATAAACAAAACATTGAGTTATTTATGCGTTACGACTAAAGACTAATATAATTCATAAATGAATTTTAAGTGATTTTTAACTAAATAAGCATTTTTAGAGTCAAAATACAAGGCTATATATTATTACAGGATATTAATAAACTGTTTATCACAAATGTGTTTGGATTTTAGAAAAATTCTATAAAAATTCAATAATCATAATAATATTAAATTGAATCATATATTGCATTCATTATACAAGAATTTCAATCATGTTTTATAATAATAGTAATGCGATACCTAAATGCTAACATTGTTTTATAGTTATGAATAACTCACTGTTAAACAAATTATTAATTTGTCTTTACATACAATAACTTGTTTTATGGGATTGTTTATAAGACTTAACTTAAATGATATATATTTTAAGATTCCTAATAAATATTCTCTTGTCGTGACTCGTAATACATTTAATGGAAATTTATTAAGTGTCCCAAAATCTACTGATCTCTCAATATCAATAATATACTTGTGAATTATTGCAATTTACCACTGTTAATGAGCCTACTAATCGATCATGATCAGTTTGACAAACTGACCAATCAATACACCTCTAAGACATCATTCCATAGCATACGATATGCTATAACTAAAACTCTAAACTAATTAATTCTGTTACCTTTAATCAATTATATGAATACTTGTAATTGAAAACCATTGTATTGTATAAAATATTTTTAGTGTGCATTTGTCTATTGAAGAAGTGACTTGAAATTTTTTAGTTGCATCTCTTTAATAAAGTTATTGCTATTGTGTTAACGACTGTCTATTCGGGGATTATTATCGGCGACCAAAACCTGACAACGATTGCGACCGCATTTCACCGTCAGTTAGAATCGGAACACATTTTTGAAGGTAAAAAACAATTCTCATATAAATTGATGACTTGATATAAATTGTTTTACAAAAAATAAAATTTGATAAAAAAGAAAAACACTATCAAAAGGGAAAATGTCTGTCAAAAGGAGTGCAACTAATTTGATAAAAAACAATAATTAATTGATATAAAAGTTTATAATAAACTGTCGGCAAACTTGTTGGTTATGTTAAGTGTTTTTTCTTACTTTTATTTTATTATTTTATTTTTGATGAGCGCTTTGCCTGCGATGTGAACATTGATTTAACACTGAAATTATTGACTCATTTATCTGAAGATATATCACTTTTTTGCACTCTTTTCATGCATTTAATGATAAGATGTTGTGTTGAGTTTGGTTTGAAAGGTTTGGAGGGTTCGGTGTACTTAAGAGACTCCCCATAAGAGATAGTGATGTTTAAAAGTCATACCAACACCAGAATAGTAATGCATATAATTTTTACTATTATTTAGTATAAGTATAACGATATTTGGCATATATTGTGCTGTTATTGAGAAATAAATGACTTGACATAAGAAGTGTTTGTTTAGTTACCGAAAAAAGTTCTTACAATTGGTGACAGAAAGAGAGAAAGAAAAATCATTTATCATTTACTCTTAGGTTTGAGTTTATTATTAGTTTATTTAAAATACACACAACAATACACTTGTTATTTGTATTTAACATATTTTTGTCGATTACTTCGGTGTATATATAATAATGAATGCTTTTAAAAACCGGTGGACTTTCTATTTGTATGTGTTTTCAAATACCAGTTCGCGTAATAAGTAGTGAATTGTAGTTTATTTCTCCACTCATTGTGTGTTTACTAAACATAATATTCTGTACAATATTTTGCGTTGGATTTTTCAAACATCTTAAACGTTAAGATCATTAACGATTTGGCGTCACTTTTTCGCAATATGGGTGGTATCGCACACACCATACATACCATACGAGCGCTCGTAACCGGCAAACGCCGACCGGAATAAGTGGTCGCTTCAAAAGGTATAGCAATAGTATAGTCTGTTTTTATTTCTACATTTTCTACATATAAAGCAAAACCAAAAGTAACTTTCATTGAAATCTCATCACTCATTGTAACGCTATGTACAGTATATTCGCGCTAAACATAACTCCATTTGAAACACTATTCAAACTACACGTTTGACTTTCAATTCCCTTTACAGTGCAGTTGTCGTGTCAAAGGGCTGTACAGGCATTCCGGTTAGCATTTGGCATGACTTCTGTAGCACTCATTTCTGGTGTAGTGAATGTATGGGTCGGGTGTTGGGGTTGTGGGGGGTGTTTGGCCATCGGTTCACTGGTGGCGCACCTTTTGTACGGTTGCCCTCCGCGGCAATAAGTCGATAGTGTATATCAACTATTGTATGCATTTATGTGGACTCTGCAGGTGTTCGTGTCAGTCCTTTTATAGCCTCTCTCTCTCTCTCTCTCTCTCTCTCTCTCTTCTGTCCCGAAAGTCCAATAGTTTTCTGCGACTTGACTGCCCTTCCAGTGCCGGTCATTAATAGTAACTCAATTCTGTGTTCACTCTTTTATCAGTTGACTCTTTTCAGCTGAAAAACGCGTTTTTCGGCTAAATTTTAACATAACTTTATTGTTAAATAAATCTAAAGAATAACAAAATTCTAATTCCGTTTATAAAAACCACAATAAAAGGAAACAAAACCGGATAAAAGATTACCCAAAAAGACATTATTTTTGGGGTTTTTGCTCTGAGTTGATGACCGCATAAGTTGTGTATATCTCTAAGTCTTTGAAATAAGTCTATCTCTCTCTCTCTCTCTCTCTCTCTCTCTCACCTTTTTAGTGGCAAAAACACATCACCGAATGTATAACACAATCGGTATTTATTAAAACACATTCTCTGGCAGAGAGAGAGAGAGAGAGAGAGAGAGAGAGAGAGAGAGAGAGAACTATTTTTCTGTAGAAGAATTTATTTAGTGCACAACAAAAAAGTGCCAAAAGTTTGGTAGGGATTGTTAGCTCCGGTCGTCACGGTTTGCGCTATCGGTTTGACGCGCGGTTTTCATGAATTTCACGCTTTTCTCACCTGTACTGCTCTGCTGTGCGCTCCGCACAAACACCTCCCGAACACCCCATTTATACGCCAGTATATACTGTATATACTGTAGTTGTGTTGTACTTACACTTAATTTTCAAGTCATTTCTCTCCCCCGCTATGCCTTTTTAGTTGAGATGATAGCCAGCGCTGACTGTTTGACAGCACTTTTTGGCAGCAGAAGTTTTTTTGCTTAACGCCCGGCTCTCTCTTTTGCGGGTATAAAACAAGTTTGTCGTCCACTCACCTCTCGTATACATACTGTATATATACTTAACTCACAATTTTTACTCAAAAAACTTGTTAATGGAATGCCTTCTCCTTTATATTCAGCTATTTTTCAAAAAACATAGAAAGAAAAAGTATATAAAAAATAAAACCAATTCAAACTAGCCTCTCTCTCTCTCTCTCTCTCTCTCTCTCTCATATTATGTATAGTCCGTAATATGCCATTAAATATACATACATTATACACACAATTCGTCCCTCATTTAGATAATAAGCACTAGTTATTTGTTATTTCCTCTTCTATCTCACTCTTCTTCTGTACACTATATCATACACTCTATAATAGAGTATATTTTAATGTATGACTTTTTTATAATGACTTTTTTTCTTTATACCGGTGTGTTATATAAAGTGCCAAAACTGAGTGCCATGAGTGGTGCCTAAGACATAAGTACCAGTTTTTGGTCTCTCTCTCTCTCTCTCTCTCTTAGTGCTCTCACTCTTTCATTATTCTTCGCTTCACTTCTTATCCATAATATCATGTATTAGAGGATGGGATGAAAATGTGTTGTTTAAAGCCAGTGGCAAACAATATACCCATCAAATTATACTGTATANTCTCTCTCTCTCTCTCTCTCTCTCTCTCACTCACTCGGCTATCGTGTAGTCCTGATTCCCGTGAGAAGAGTGATGTGATGTAAGCTCTGAACTGACTTTTTTGTTGTTCAATACAAACACTTGAATCCCTTGTCTTTGTCGGTCTTTCGGTTTGAATTTTTTACTTAATTTGACTGAACATAAGGGAGGCTTACATTTCACGCTATAATCACTATTTAGCCATTGATTTCCTTATCAAAAACATATTCAACACTAATTACTTATCACTCAATCTTTTTTACGAACTATTAATTAAATTTTAATTTATAATTCATTTACAAATGAAATATTCTTCACAAGTCTTGACGTATTATTTGTTAGTTAAAAGATTTAAACTCAAATACACTTTACATTTATGGAAATAATCCGACATTAATTAATAATAGGTTTGAAATAAATTGAATGTTCAGATAATGATATAGATTTTTGAGCATTTTATTCATCAAATATCTTCAATAATAAAGTTTAATAACATTTACAAACAGAGAAATAATTGATTCAATTGTATAATTGTTTGAAACGATACCCTTTTATATAATTCTATATACAATTTAAAACTATTTTGTATTTATATATAATGTTTCTAATATATGATTTGTTTAGTTTTGTTTAAATCCTATCAAAAAGAAATCATTTTTTATTGATTTTAGAGCTCTTAATACATTTAATAGTAAATAATAATAAAATAATTACAATAAAATTAATTAAAAGTTATCAAGAAATGATTAAAAAAAACTTCTTGATTAATTAATATACTTTTAATAAATATAAAAACATATTTTATACATAAAAACACATTTTAATTAAATTGATTTTTAATTGAGAACAAATAATTAGTTGACAATAAATTTTAAAAGTTTTAATTTTGTATATCAACTAAAAGATGTGTACAAATGAATGAATTGTGTAATGATTTTTTTAAGATTGTGATTCTGTATATACATATTTAAAATCATTATGTATTTTATGTTTTCTTTGGTCTAACGATTAGAGCGAATAAAGTTTTGGTCGAATAAAAAGTTTCTCAAAAAACAAGTGTTTTAATATACAGTATAATTTGATGGGTATATTGTTTGCCACTGGCTTTAAACAACACATTTTCATCCCATCCTCTAATACATGATATTATGGATAAGAAGTGAAGCGAAGAATAATGAAAGAGTGAGAGCACTAACAGATAGAGAGAGCCAACGGCGCCGACACGACCTACCAATACAAACGACCAGAACATCACTTCCATCTGTTTATAGTCTATGAAAATAGTATAACAATTGAGGCACTGAATGGCTTTTGGAAGAAGAGATTTTTCAGATTTTTGTTATTCAGATTCTGTGTTTCCACAGAATTCAAAAAGTCTTTCATTGATTTTTTTGTATATAGTTTTTTAAAAACTCCAGAATCTGTTGATTAGCGCCGATTTGATTAGATTTGTTCGTAGCTTATGGGAGAGCATAGCAATTGTTTTAATTATTAATTTGTAATTAATTATTATTAATATTATTATTATGTTTGTAATTAAATTTTACACTTATTATAAGAGTAGGATTTAATTACAAATGTTATCACAATTAACGCCATCGTAAGCACTGTTAGCAGAAGGGATTGGTTTGGCAGCGATGCTGAAGACGCTCTCATGACTTTGACGTGAAAGGGATCTGAAAAGAGTTGGCAATATATTAGTGTCAGTCAACACAAATCACTGTTCATTTGAATAATGGCTTTCATAATGTATGGCATTTACAATGAAAATAAAAAATTGTGGGCGTCTTTCAAAACAGAGAGAGAGAGAGAGAGAGAGA